AGCCAAACTCTTCATTCGGACTTGTACTGTCAACAATGAGAGCATCATAAGGAAGCAACCGGATAGGAGAGAAATTGATTTCCATCGGGCCAACGTCAGGCTACACACATGAATACTGATGCTCTTAGAGCTTTATGCTTGCTAGAGCTTGGAGATTGTTATGCATTTATCATATAGCCCGAACCTGACACAAAGCGATTACTACTCGTTTCTGACTTGGTAAATGAATTTACAGGCGAAAAAAAACGTCTCAAGAGAAGCTTGTGTAAATCGGCTGCCCTTATAAGGACGATGGTTTTTTTTTTTTTGAAAGTGTCTTTATAAAATTACCTTCAAAATAGCAATGAGTAATTCAAAAATACTTAATTTGTTGTATGTATAGTTGAACGCTATGTGGCAGTTACTTTGAATTTTAGAGCTATTTTTTTCAACAAGGGATGGTAATGTCTACTTTTCGGAGAACGTCAGAAAGTGCTCCTGAGGGTTAGAAGATCGTGGAAGCCTTATAATTAATAATTCACGTCGAGATTTTACTTACTGTGTCTTTTTACGTAAACCTAAAATAAAATAAATAGAATTCCGAGCAAACTGTTTATATCGACCCATATAACCCAGAACTTTTTGTAAAAATTATAATAGTAGGGGCGCCTGGAGTGCTAAATTTGCAGTTACTGCAGCGTCATGGAGACTTACTAGATTGTCAAGATAACGCTTATAAAAAGAAAGTCTAGGTGAAGTTTTTCATTTTAGCTAGGAGAAGGGCGGGTAATTAATTTCAAAAATGTAAAAAAAAACAGTCACATAAAAATATGCAAGCGCTTCAGTCATTTATGGTATATACGCGCGTTGTGTATATTAATCTGACAATCATTTCAAGGCGGAGGGCCGTAATGAGAGGTTAAAAAAACAACAAAAAGTTACTCGAGCGTATCGGATTTACAAAGCGAATGTTAATGAACCTCTAAAAAGTGTGCCATTTTAATTTCTGAGAATTTCGACGTGACCAAAAGTCATGATTGATTTTAAAACTTGTAAAAAAAAACAAGGTGACCTTGAGATACTCGATCGCGTCAGATATTTATGCAGGGGGATGAACTTGATGTCAAAGGCTTCCAAGAGATAATCTGACAATTATATAGAGGAATATTGTCAATCTGAATTCTGTTTGATTCTTGTTTTTGTTACAGGATGTAATAAAAACAGTGTATACATATATATGTATAGAAAATTGAATAATTTATTAATATGAAAATAGATATAAATATTAAAAGAAAAAAAAAACATGACAATTTTCGTCATTCGGGTCATCGTCGAAGTTGGTTTCCACTTCTTGAACTCCTTGAACTTTCGCGTCATTTTGCATTTCTGTAACGGAGAAAAAATACGAAACTTTACAATTTTTTACTTGTCTTATGACAGTATAGTCTTCAAAAAAAGATTTGCCACATCAGCAGTCCTCGTACACTTGAAAATTGAAAACACCACAAAACAAGTAAGGAAGGGCTAAGTTCGGGTGTCACCGAGCATTATATACTCTCGCATGATAAAGTGATAATCGAGATTTCAGGCGTGGTTGTGAACCGATTTCACCCATATTTGGTACATGTTATCACGATGTTAAGAAAATATTATATACCGAATTTCATTGAAATCGGTTGAGTACTTCCTGAGATATGGTTTTTGGTCCATAAGTGGGCGACGCCACGCCCATTTTCAATTTTTAAAAAAACCTGGATGCAACTTCCTTCTGACATTTCTTCCGTAAAATTTAGTGTTTCTGACGTTTTATGTTAGTCGGTTAACGCACTTTTAGTGATTTTCAACATAACCTTTGTATGGGAGGTGGGCGTGGTTATTATCCTTTTTTTTCCATTTTTGAAATGTCTGGAAATGCCTGAAGGAAACGACTCTATAGAGGTTGGTTGGCATAGCTATAGTAGTTTCCGAGATATGTACAAAAAACTTAGAAGGAGCTTTAATATCTTTATTTACGGCTTAGTTATGACATTTATTTCCGCCATTTTGTGGGCGTGGCAGTGGGCCGATTTTGCCCATCTTCGAACTTAACCTCCTTATGGAGCCAAGAAATACGTGTACCAAGTTTCATCATGACATCTCAATTTTGACTCAAGTTACAGCTTGCACGGACGGCCGGACAGACAGACATCCGGATTTCAACTCTACTCGTCACCCTGATCACTTTGGTATATATATATAACCCTATATCTGACTCTTTTAGTGTTAGGACTTACAAACAACCGTTATGTGAACAAAAATATAATACTCTCTTTAGCAACTTTGTTGCGAGAGTATAAAAACAAAAGTGTCAAGCGTCTACTAACAACAACCACGCTATGCTGATCAGCTGAGACGGCATCATGGCGGCAGACACTAGTATGAGGACGGTGCGAGGGATTGAGAAACAAACAAAAGTGTCAAGATCCACTAAAAACAACCACGCTATGTTGATCAGTACGCTTGACCTTTTGTCGACGATTTTACCTGTATCGCCCCATGGAAACTGTCAGATAGGATTTTCGTGATTCTGACAGAATTATCTTTAAAATGAAAAAAAAAAAAAAATCTATCGCACTCGAGTATTTTTAGGTGACGTTTTTGTTTTTTTCTACAGATTTGTCACCCTACTATTTCTCTAAGTCACCCTCAAACTGTCTGAATATTGAAATATACACTCGTCTTCATGTATTCAATTTACCATCTCTTAATCTGACGCGCACGAGCTTCCCGAAGGATCGATTTCTTTTCTCTAATCTGACGAACTCCCCCCAACGCATGCCTCCATTTTGAGTAACTGCAAAAATCCCCTCTTGGGCTCCCCTACTATAAAAAAATATATATAAATACATTAACAGAGCACATAAACAAACGAAATCATTAGCCTCAACAACGGCGCCGTTACTTCTGAATTCTTCAGGTTGGACAAAGAAGCGAAGCAAATGGGAGTGGTAGTGAACGAAGGTAAGACAAAATATCTCCTGCCATCAAACAAACAGTCGTCGCATTCGCGACTTGGTTCCCATGTCGCAGATGACAATCATAACTTCGATGTCGGAGATAGTTTCGTCTACCTTGGACCCGCATTGACACTAACAACAACGTTAGCCTCGAAATCCAACCCAGAATAACTCTTGCCAATAGGTGCTACTCATTCCGAGTAGGTAATTGACAAGTAAAGTCCTCTCTCGACGAACAAGGGCCATACTCTACAAGTCACACATCATCCCCGTCCTGCTATATGGAGGCAAGGAGTTTTCGAGAAAAACGTTCTGCGAAATTTTTATGATCCCTTGCGTGTTGACCATGGCGAATATCGCAATCGCTGGAACGATTTGCTGTACGAGATATACGACGACATTGGTACAGCCCAGCAAATTAAGAGACAGCGGCTCGGTCATACCATCCGAATGTATAAAAATACTCCAGCTCTGAGAGTCCACTTGGAATTTCCAATTGGCTCCAAATAGCGAGAAGGAAGACTTACGCAAGTTGGGTCTACGCCAATAAATGAGAAAAATATAGATACGTTCCGGAAATGTAGTTTGCAGATTTTCGCAATACAGAGTTGAATTAAAATCGATAGCTTTGCAATAAAATGCTACACAACTTTTTGATCTCATGCTAGAATATGAATGGGTTTTAAAAAAATTTTTTTACATTCAAAAACGGTTAACTGGCTACCTCGTAGGCTAGACTGACTCTCACGTTTTTTTTACAGTAAAGATTTTCTTACTCGAGACACTTGGTAAAAGGATAGCAAAGAAAAGTAGAATACTTCTAAAAGCTGTTAAGTTTTCATTGGCTACGTGTTACGAAGCCTGTTGAAGTCATATCTGCTGTAAGACATGGTTGCCACATATGTAATATATTTTTGTACAATCTATAACTTCAATATCTATATGCCTATAGCTACTCTGGAGACCATTTTCTAGAAGCATCACGAACTCGAACACGAGATCAAAATAATCAAATTTGTATATAATGAGGAAAAGTTAGACAACGTGTGAGCTTTTTAAATAGTTTCAGAATATTAAAAGCTAGTAATTCAAAGATCATCTTTTCATGGAAAAAAAGGATCTCAAAATCGCGCAAGGTTCGTTGTTAACCAGTGCGGGAGATCCATGGATCCAATGCTACAGCGCAAGAGGACAGCGGGGTATGCAATCGTTCCGAAAATGATAAAATTGTGGTAAGATTGCGGTATATTGCAAGTTCATTGGCTTTGTAGTTTACAGCGATTCCAAAGTGGAATGATGGTCTTGAACACACTGTCAGAGTGATCAAAACCATTATTAATGTTCTGCTATGGGAGAGAACTCAAGCCTCTCAGAAGGTTGCTGTACTTTGGAGCAGTACACTTACTGATACTTCAGAATGTCCGTACATGGGAACTCTCATGTTCATTGTTGATGTTGTTCTTACTGCACCACAAATTCCAATGAGAGTCGTTCTGCGTTGCCGGACCTGGATATTTATCTAGCCAAGGACTCAAAAGCACTTTAAGAATTCTTTCGGCCGCTGCAACAACCACAATAAAACCGCTCTGCCGACGTGGCTACAACCGAATTAGCATTAGTGGACTGTAAGGTAACCGGTTTAGGGCGGTTCATGCGGTTCAGATCCTCCCAGTTGAAAAGGTTGGTCACATCCCTCAATTGTGGCAAATGTACACTTTGAATAAGCAAACATAAAAACATTATCTTCCACAAACAGGACGCAAGGATTCTTATTAATAACAATTCAATTTGCATAAATAATTTTATTTATTTTTGAATGTTTGTGAAATGGTATGTGTAGCAATGAGTTTGAAGTGTATCTCAAAGCCCTTATGTGGGCATGTATGTATGTATTTTATTATAAGAGTATGTGTATAAATGGTCGTCCACATTACATGTCTTCAAAACTTTGCTAGTTTTTGCCCAACATGTTATCTGGACAACTGTATAAAATTCTGCTATATATGGTTCAATATGTATGTAGTATGTACATGCGTGTGTAAGTGTATGTGTGTTAGGATCAATGCATATGCTTTACGGAACTGTCGATATAAATAAAATGTATGGATATATAACAATGAGTATACATGCAGGTGTATATGTCACTACTATTTTTCTGCTGGCAAACTTTTAATGACGATGTAAGGGCAACTGGCGGATAACTGGCACTTCCCGATGCACTTGAGCGGTGAAGCCCAACAATGGATCGGCATTATATTCCACAACACGACGCTGGCCATCGGGTTCAATAAGCGAGTAACGGCCGGTTACATAATCGCCATGACGATGCTCGAACTGATCCTTAACATCGCCGGTGTGGGTGTCGTGCACGGAATAGTGGAATTCATACTGCGGTGGGCTGTTTTCCTCCAATTCGATGGGAATGGGAATGCCATGTCCAATGAGGCCCGCGTTGGTGCTAGCGAAGTAGCTGATGACGAGCAAAGTGAGTGCGTACTGCAAAGATGGGCAAAGAATTGTTAGATATAAGTTTTTTTTTTATAAAGGAGGATGTTGCTTACGAAGGCCTTCATGTTGTTTGAGTCTTTTGTTTAATTAATCACTGTGGCTTGAGTACTACTGCTGCTACTACTCCAATTGTCTCGCTGTGTTTAATGCTGTTTGTCCACATTGATGTAGCTTTTATACTTACTTGCACGAAGTCGGCCATATGAATATGATACGCATGCGCACGTTGAAGACATCTTCCGCCCAACACTGGTAGCATAGCCATGGGTCGCACTTTGTGTTGTACCACACATTGTTGTTGCTGCCCTATTGAGCTGTATTCAACGCGCTGTCGCATAATTGTCACCGGATCCAACAGCCGGTCGGTTCTCCTGCAGTGCTTTTTGATTGAGTAATATGGCGAAAATTAAAATAAAAAATTTAGTATCAAATATAAGACAAGTAAAAAGCCAAATAAATGTTAACTCTGTAGTAATATGTTTTTCGGCATTCACTTACTTACAGTGGTGGCCATTGAAATATGTCTATGTAATGGGTAGCTTTTATAACACCCTTTGTCATACGTCCAAGAAAGACATCATTGCTCACTTAGACAGCTTGAAGCGAAAACAATCGTGATCGAACTGTTGGGAGCCGGCGCAAACAGTATTCAAGCCTGGCTTGACGGTCAGAAAGAATTTTCTCCTATAAACTGCTACCTACGGTTAAACTTTTCATTCGGTACTTTTCATTCCAGTACTGTTAGGTGAGAATTTGTGCTTCATCAGGGCAACTTGAGGCCATACACATCGATGTTGACTCGCCAAAGCTTCGAGAGGTTGGTTAGGACTTTCTTATGCATTCAACTTACAGTCCTGACCAGGCGCGGATCCACGGGTCCAAAAGTGAAAAGTTATGCAATATTTCCACCTTAAGTGACATTCCGCGAAGAAAAGGACTATGAGTTGTTAGTACAAAATTATATAGTTCCCCCCCAACACCCAAAAAAAAAAAAACTACACTAATTGTTAAAGAAATTCAAATGTTTTCTACGTAATGTGAAGAACAATCAATACAATTAAGTTGTGAATATAACATCATTAAAAAAGGGTTTATTGCTAAAGACCAATGCCACCAAATAACCCCATCTTATGGTACAAGGGTGTTAAATCACAACTTCTTGGAGGCCATTCAATGTTAAAATTTTTGAAATAATCGTATCTTCAAACTCTTCTCGCAATAAATCAATTGTTGGACGTGCTGTGTGCCGCGCAGCTTTTGTCAAGATCAACTTCTTCCAATTTCGGTCCTTGCCGATCTTGAACTACTAAAGAATATAGCTGCATTATAAAATCAGCGTTCCAAAAAGTCCTTTATATCCTAATTCTGCTATTGACCAGAGCATACAAAAAGATCCACATGTGCCCATCCGCCAACGCGCAAAACAATTGGAACTGTGCCCATCCACTTTACAGAAGATTTTGCGGAAGGATCTTGGTTTGCGAGCTTACAAAATTCATGAGCCCAAAACGAGATTGCCATTGATACCAATTTTTATAAGAAAATTTTATTCAGCAACGCAATTCTCCTTCGGTTGAATGGGTATGTTGACAAGCAAAATTTCGCATTTGGTGTATTATTATATTCCACAAGAGAGTGTAAAGCACGTGTATCTTCAAAAGATCACTATTTGGTGTGCTGTATGGTCAGAGGGAATCATTGATCCTTATATCTTCAAAAATGAAGCCGTCCGTAATGTTACAGTTAATGGTTAACGCTATAAAGCCATGAATAATGAATATTTCGTGCTTGAATTGGAGGATATATAAGTGGATGGCCTTTATTTAAAACAAGACGGCGCTACTTGCTATGCAGCCAACGAAACAATAAATTTTATTAAAGCAAACTTTGGCGAGCACATCGTGGCCTCATGATAGTGAGCTTGTAGCGTGTCCTCCAGGACCGTTCGTTTTAATACCCGTTGGACCATATCTAGTGGGTTTATGTGAAGTAGCTTGATCGACGTTTTGGAAGAGAATATTCGAAGAGTTATTTTTGCCCAAAAGTGGTCAAAAATTTGGGTCTCTCGACTGTAATTCATTCAAAATATAACAAAACCGACCCTTATACTTATAATATATCACAATTTTTGGTCAGAACAGTAAGTTATATGCCTTCTTCTGATTTCTACTTGAAAACCACATATTTTCAAAGAAAACTCCTAACATAAAATGCAGGCCTTACTAGTAGCATATCTTTTAAGTGTGCATATTCTAAACGCCACAGCTGTATACTTGTGCGCATATACATATGTTAGTATGTGTATATATTTTCTAATTATGTAATTTTACGAACAAAATTATCTGTAACGCTGTCTACTAAAATATATACTATCAAATATTTATATACATATGTATGTATATTATATTATACACATACAAACTGTAAGGAAATGCCGCGCAGCACAGTATTGTCGAGGGATATCAAATTCGTTGACAATCCGAAAATCAGTCAGCTGGTAACTGTCAAGAGTTTGCTGCGCTGCGGCGACTCTATTGGTCACTTGGTAATCAGTTGGTTGTTGTACAAGTACGCACAACAATTGCCGTTTGAATTCGGTTTTAAAAGTCAAAGTAAAACTGTTGAACTGGCTTAATGATATCACATTTCCACGCCGCGAGTGCAAACAGACAATGTAATGATAATAAAAATGAGAATTAAAAAATTAAACATATTTACATATTAGCTTTTGAGCCTTTCTCGTAAGCGGTGCATTGCTCTACTTTCAACTTACATAGATACATATGTACATACAGATGTTCATAAAATAAAGCATAAGCCGCACACGCGTGTGTTGTTGTACACTTTTGTTGTTTGTTGTATTTTTTTTTTATTATTTTACAGTTTTTGAAATAAAATTAAGTACACATTTACAAATACATACATACATATAATTATTGTTATTGTTGTTTGCGTACAGAAATTCAGTTGCATTAACATATTTTGTATGAATTATACGATTCTTGTGTAAGTTTGTACAAATGTAACGCTAGTATTTATTTTATTTTGTATTGTACAATTTATTTTATATTTAAATAATGTCTCACACACATTTGTTTTTGCATATGTATTTAGAAAAATACCCATTTATGTGCCTTTGAATTTTTAATTTGTTTATTGAATTTTAGAATGTTCATTTAGTTTATCACAGCACAAACTTTTGTATGACAATTCAGCTCACACAACTTTTCGCCACTTTCCGGACACTGCGTTGCTTCCTTCCTTCCACTTTTTTAGATTATTAGTTATTAGTTATTCTACTTGCTTTTGTTTAGGCTTAATAATTAAGGTACGCTGTATTCCATTCGGAACTGTTTTTATCGTTGAGTCCATTTAGAATTTTCTTCTCAAGCAAAGAGCCTAGAAAAGCACAAAAAAAAAAAATTTAGATATATACATATACTATATTAGGATTGTTATATAATATTTAATGTTTATTAAGATTTTTTATATGTAACATCAACATTTGAAGAAGACTATGTTCGTGCAAAATCGAACCGATGTAAACATCTCACACTTTTTGAGATATAGAGGGTTATGAAGTAAAGTGCTATCCATTTCGAGGTTGGAATCTTCCAAGAGCACATAGAGCGAAGCGAAGATATCGACGTAAAATGCGCCAAGTCGTTCCATGCGTCAGTCCGAGTTACTGCGAACGGCGCCGAATCGACTCTCCACGGCCTTCGTATACATTCTCAGCTACAGTTGCTATATTTTCTTCACTGCTTACTGGACGTGGTCTATTCGATCGAATATTATTCAATAATGAATGCTGGGTCTCAAAATGGATAATGGTGTTGCCAGTAGTACGTTTAGTAGGCCGATTTTGTTGGCCATAAGACCACGTGAATTTTCGCAATCTTATTGAACGATTTGTAAACGTTCTTCAGGCATAAGTTCTTCCACGATAAAAAACCAAACAATACTGACAAAAATTACGTGACAGCTCGACACGACCAACCAATTGTGGTTTGATCAGCAACTTAGGGGATTTAAAAAAGTGTCTGATTTTTAACACACCTAGCCACTATCCTACTTCGTACTAAATAGGCAATTGAGAAGTAAAATCCTCTCTCGACGAACTAAGACCAAACTCTATAAGTCACTCATTATTCCCGTCCTGCTATATGGTGCATAGGACGACGACAACATCAGATGAATCGACGTTACGAGTTTCCGAGAGAAAGTTACTGCTAAAGATTTAAGGTCCTTTACGCGTTAACCACGGCATTCGATGGAACGAAGAGCTTCGCTTGGAATTTCGAATTGACGCCACGTTGTGAAAAGAAGAAGCGACTGGGGCGTTGTTGTTAACTCGGCTATAATCGCGTAAGCGGTGTCTACGCAAGTAATTAAGAAAAAGAACACTCCCCAAAAACTCTTTTGTAGCTTGTTGCTAGTGCGACAACATCTGAGGTGTTTCTGTAAGAATCTTTGCTTCAAACCACCTTGAAAGAGCTTAAGGGAATTGTTCTTCAACAGCCACTGGCCAAATTTTCTGCCTTTTCATTTCCATCTAATTTTATATGACAGGGTATCCGAAAGATCTTCACCTAGTTTCCTAAGTCTTAATAAGTCTAATGGATGCCTTCTTACAAAATCTAACGCAGAGTGTCTTCGTGTTAGCGCTGCGGATAGCCTTTATTTCCTTTATTCTTCTTTGGAAAACTGTCAGCAAAATCTCATACAGAAAAAAGTTGAAGCGGTACAACAAGGAGTTCTCTGCTTAACAGAAGCGCTGAAAACAACACTATTAGCTGCGCAAGACAAGTTATTCAACCTTCCACCAATCAGTGGAAAGCTTAGCAGCAAAATCATCTTCAAGAAAATCAATGTATACGGTAATAACCAAATGGCAATTAAGGAGATAGTCTCATATCATATTTCGTCAGAATATCTCCTTAGAATCAGGGAAGTGGCTGACGGAAAGCAACTTCTGCTGAAATTGCCAAGGGGGTTCTGATGGGATTTCCAACGGCTGTTGGTCTAAAACTCAGGCATCGCGTGTGAATTGAATGGTCATTAGTAATGACAATACATAAAGAAAGTGCAGGGAAGTTTGCAGGAGATTGACGCTGAAACACTTCCTTCACTTCTATACAATTTTATTCAGAAATCCTCTTCGACAACTATTCAAAGTAGTAGATTGCCTGTCAAAATTATATCTCATACTTACTTCAGCTGAAATATAGCTGAATCTCCACGGACATTACTAATAACCACTAGGGCTATGTATGACGCGACAGCCGGCCCTATAACCCAATCTAAACTGTCAATGTAGATATATTATTATGCGTAAATTAAAAAAAAGATGAAAGTGAGTAAATATGCTCAAAACAGCCACCATCCTTACTATCTCGAATCTTCAATACTACAGTTACATACCGATGAAACCTTTTGAATGGTCATCAATAATGTGTCAGTCTAGGAGGTATAATAAATATAAGTCCGTTTTGAAGTACATGTAATATCTACGAGGTGTGTTCAAAAAGTATCGCGAATTTTGAATTCTCGCGGATGTTGACTGTGGCATACGGAGAAGCTACCTTGGACCGAAGCAACGTTTATCGGTGGTACAAAATGTTCTCAGAARGSCRAGARGATGTGACAAAAATTGGCTTTTGCACCACGATAACGCCCCTGCTCACACATCGCTGCTTAAGCGCGACTTTTTGGCCAAAAACAACACACTAATGATGCCGCAGCCACCGTATTCCCCAGATCTGGTCCCCTATGACTTTTTCTTGGCCCATGAAAGCACGACGTTACGCTTCTCTTGACGAGATAAATACAGCATCGAAGGAGGAGCTGAAGAAGATAAGAAAAAATTGGTTTTTTGAAGTGCTTCTAAGATTGGAAAAACCGTTGGCACAAGTGTATAATATCTCATGGGGACTACTTTGAAGGGGACAAAATAGATATTCATGAATAAATAAATAATTTTTGAAAAAACACAAAATTCGCGAAACTTTTTGAACACACCTCGTATGTATGTATATATATTAGGCCTCACGCTATACATATGATCTTGAGAGGGCCATCCTTGCTTGTTTGCTCCTTAATCTTTACAAATTGAACTTATACAAAGACGTGGATGTTACTTATATCTTAGTGAAAAAATTCGGTGAGCATCTCACTTGCTTGCTCCGATATCTATGGTCGTATATTGTAAACAACTATAGCTTTCATTGAATTTTTCGGAATATAATTTGCTTAACCCTCTAATTATACTTGTCTCTTTTCATCTCGTTATTTGTATATAGTATGTCTGCTGTTCAATTATACAATTATCGATATAGTGATACATTACATATCTTATCTTATAACCAATCGATATATAAATAACCATAAATAGAGAATAGAGAAAACTCATATCTCTATATCATAGTAGGTCTATATGGACTATTCGCCCTCATATTCATTTGCGATGGGTTTACAAAAATATCTTGAAGAATAGGCATCATCTTTCAAAAACTATTATTTTGACAATATTACTGTATTTCACAACATAACCTCTAATTTACTAAATTTCAATAGCTGCCTTAGCAAACGGTTATTTGCTATAAATACTGAATAGTTCTTGTCTAATTACATTAATTTCGATTCAGGATGGACCTACCATTTTCCGCAACCATCCAWGCCGTCAATTTTTCATCTTCGGTCTTATTCGTACCGTCCCATGGTTGCATTTTTGCTTTTGTCTGCTCAACGGACTGTGGATCAACTCTGAAAAAATAATTTCAGTAAATCTGCTCATTTTTGTATGTTGAGATTCAATATGTTTGAAGAAAATATTTATTTATTATTTAAACTGAAGATATGCTTTGTGCGAAATGGGGGAAAGATGCACAAGATACTGAAACAAACTACATAAAGCAAATGAGTTCATAGCAACATACAAACAAATACAATGAGTAACTACTGTTATGTGACACGAGATTACGTCTATGGAACACAGAAATGTAACTATTTAATATAAAAGACATCTTACTAAGGTGTAGCAAACAATACAAATTCGGGGGGTACACACAAATTCTACAACAGCCAATTGCAACTAGAAGGCATTACAAAAACTCAACATTTTACCACTTTAGTTCAAATTAAGTACAAAATTCGAATGCGATGAGTTGGAGGTGGATAGTGTAGGCTAATCGTGGAATCCGCAACCAGTGTGACGTCTGAAATACAACCCATTTCGATATACCCGAATGAATGCGAATATTTGTCCAATTTTTAGTTTATAATTTTTTTTTATATTAACTAATTACTGTCCACTACCTAATAAACAAATAAATGACGTTAACTACAGATTACTCTACATTACATTGTTTTAAATTGACATTTTATATAAGCAAGGTCTAGTTTTTTACCTAATGGGCCAAAATTGGCACTCATCATCTGTGGGCGGGTCAAGTGAATCCTTAGATATACTAGAACTGTTGTATAAAATACACATGTTTATATTTCAATATTATGATTTTAAGAAACTTTTTTAAACGCTCTAAGCATTGCATAATACATAAGGAAATAATTAGAAATACACATAAGAGACAAAATGTTACGTACGAATTCGGACAAAACAAACAAGAAAACAAGGATAAAACAATGTTGAATAACAAGCGCTTATGAGTATAACTTAATGGACTAGTAGCACACGCATGGAGCACACTCTAATGATGACAATGTGATGATTAAGGGTTTCTTAGGTTTTTACCCTAAACATAAAGACCCGTGAAAAGAGAATCAACACCTCCCCTTCGTCGATTTCAAAGCTGCTTTTGAACGTACGAAAAGGAGCTGTAAATTTTCGGCTATGTCTGAATTTGGTATTCCTGCAAAACTAATACGGCTGCTTAAATTGACGTTGAGCAACACCAAAAGCTCCGTCAGGATCTGGAAGGACCTTTCCGAGCCGTTCGATAGCCAACGAGGTTTCAGAGAAGGCGACTCACTATCTCGTGACATCTTCAATCTGTTGCTGCAGAACTAAATAGAGATTTTACAATATTCTATAAGAGTGTACAGCTGCTGGCGTATGCCGATGGTATTGATCTCATTGACCTCAATAAGCTCGTAGTTAGTTCTACTTTCTAAAGACTGGATAAGGAAACGAAGCAATTAAAAATCAGATCGCTCAGATCCCTCCATCAAAAAAAAATACTATGCATTATACTATAAATGTTTCATAATTCACGTCCCATTACAAGGCGCAGAGACAGGAACATTGACGAACCGATACGAGAACTTAAAGCATTCGAAATAACTCTTGTCCACAAGGTCTTTGGAGCCGTCCGCGTGAGCGATGAATAAGATGCAACGACGAACTATATGAGCTCTACGAACATATGGAGCACATGGACATACATACAGTAGTTAAACGGATAAAAGTCGAACGAATGCTTTGGTTAGGCCATGCCATTCGCAGGAAAGATGGTGCTCCAGTGAAAAGCCCCTTCGATACGAGGCCCATTGGTAGACACGGTAGGTCCAATGGAAGGACCAAGTGCATAGTGATATGTCTACACTTAGAATGTACAACTAGTGAAATTTCGCAAATAATAGAGGTAACTGGTAGGATTGTAAATTATTAATAGAGTAGAGCACAGGTATGAAATGCAGTCAAAATACCACGTTGGACATATTGTGAATACTCCCTGAACGATGATTGCTCACTTTAGACAGCAAGTGCAACGGTGAGATCACTTCAAAGTAGTGTGTGTTGCTATTTAAGCACAATTTCAATGAGTCTTTGCATGGATGTTGGACACTCTAGTTATCACCAGCAATCAAGTGGCAGTCTACAGCCTGATAGCGAACGATTACAAGACCGAATTATTTGGCCGATACGACACCAAAAAGTGGTGTGCCATTATGACAATGGACGGTTCAACAATGTGACTATCGGTCTGGCCTTTTGTCATTGGAATTGTGTTACAATCTACTTTCTCATCCATCACTGCAATTTATTTTCCAGAATTTCGGAAAACGTAATATGGAGAAATGTCAAAAAATTTGAGCTGAGTTCTTATCAAATTGACCTTGTATGTAACACAAATAATACTTATACTTTTTAGAATATTAATTAACAGTTATTTTAAGTAATATAATTTATTGGGATCTATACCGCCCAATGCAAACTTCAAAAGTCTCTCAAATCAGTTTATATTTTCCGATTTCCGCACATCTCCGAAAAGTAGATGGTATTTTAGATGGCTTACTTACGCATTTGTCGACAGCGAGTCAGCATAACTACCGTTATTTACTTCAATGCTACTGGGTATGTACACCTTACTCTTCTCCGTCAATGAAGTCTCATTGGAATAACCATTTGGCAAATTGGAGTTACGTTCCGCTAATGTTTGTTGTTGTTGCATCGTTAATGGAACTGTATTTGGATACTTTGTTGTTTCGCTATCCGAATCGAGCGATAGATGCCCGAAGAGATCTTCAAGCAAAATATTTGCTTTTCCATTGCGTTGACGTTGACGTTTGGCTGATGTTTTGATTTTCGAACTGTTAATAATATAAATTTAACATCAAATTATTTGTTAGTCTAATAAGTTAATAATTGCTAGCATATAAATAGAGATAAATATGATTTATTAGTACTTAATTTGTTACCAATATTGACCGGTTAATCAGAAATCGTGAAAAACGTTCGTGTCTTTTAAATAAGCTCAATACGCCAAGCTCAGTTTCTATTTAATTCAAGACAAATTTATCAATTTATAACCGAATTTTTGATATTTTTTATAATTGAAAAAAAAAAAATCGAGTATCAAAAATAGAAATTATAACAGAAATTCTTTGAAAATATAGTTTCAGTTTAGCTAATTTTACACACTACTTTCAATATTTCTAAACATTTGTATTTTATTTAATTATTTTTTTAATTTTTCTTTCATACTTCCAGATATACTATCTGTTTGTACATCTTAATCGTCATCTATGTACATAGAGACCGGTGAACAAAAGACTTAAGCAACAAACTTTTCTCCATCTAAATTCATTTCTTGAAAAGATAATTTGAATTAATAATAATAGTAAGTGCGCATGATACAAGAAAAAAGTACTAATAATGATTACAACAACAATATAATGTACTCTGAAGCTTTCTTGTAAGAGGAAACAATTATGCTTTGCTGCGGAAAGACTCCTACCGTATAGTATGCGTATATATGATATACTAATTGAATATGGATGTAAAACTCCGACATCGTTCTACAAGAGTTAATTGTGTCAGTCAATATAAATCAATTGTGTCAGACAATATAAATCAGCCTTACTTGCTCGAGTGAGCTAATTTTTAAAGTGAGCCTTATGGCTTTGTTTTCAAATAAGTATTCAAAACACGGATTGATATTTAAATCTCAATAACTAAACACTATGGGTATAGTTCCTACATATACAGACAGAGAGACATGGCTAAATCGACTCAGCTCTTTAGGCTAATCATTTAGTATGTATATATTTTATATTTTTTCCCTCTGAACCTTCGTGCAACCTTAATATAGTCTGTTCAGAGTATGAAAAAACTAAAAGCAGGAAGATCGAGATAAGCACTAATTGCTAGTTATTTAGTAACAGCCTTAATTGGCCACAGAAAAAAAGCTCTTTTCCTTCCGTTTTCCATAACTTTTTCAAACAACTTGAAAAATAAATATGAATTCTGGTTAGCTAGTCAAAGCCGCTTCTCTTTGATGTCAAATGAGCTTTCTTGGCGTGAACTGCATAGTTTGTACCGTAGTTTGACATAGACTATGCGATGTTGAAATTTGTAAATGCCAAAACTTCCAACATCGACATTAATTTCCATCGACTGTTTTGTATGGATTGTATGTTCTTAAAACCTAGTATTTGAAGCTACATGCTGCAAACGAAACCATCACAAAATGCAAAAGAACAGCTGGTACGTCACAGTGGAGAGAAATAGACAATACAATCGACGCATGTGCGGACTGGGATAGTTACCTACAGCTGATGAGGGAAGCGGGACGCATTTGCAGGCAAAACAAGAAAAATCGTTAACTTCGGCTGCACCGAAGCTAATATACCCTTCACAGGTGTATTTCTTTTAGTAACTATGTGTTCAGTTTATATGGGAGCTATATGCTATAGTAATCCGATCTGAACAACTTTTTCGGAGTAATCCATGTCAAATTTCGTGAAGATACCACGTCAAATGCGAAAGTTTTCCATACAAGCCCTTGATTACGATTGTTAGGCTTATATGGCAGCAATATTCTATAGTTAGCAAAATCTGAACAATTTCTTCTGACATTACATTATTTCTATGAACAATAACTCATACCAAATTTCGTGAATATATCTTGTCAAATACAGAAGTTTTCCATACAACAACTTGATCCCGATCGTTCAGTTTATATGGCAGCTATCTGTTATAGTGGTCCGATATCGGCAATTCCGACAAATGAGAAGCTTCTTGAAGAGAAAATGATATTTGCAAAATTTCAAAGCGATATCTTAAAAAAGAAGGACTAGTTCGTATATATACAGACAGACGTTCATGGCTAAATCGACTCAGTTCAATATGCTGATCATTTATATATATACTTTTTAGGGTCTCCGACCCTTCCTTCTGGGTGTTACAAACTTCGTGACAAACTTAATACACGCTGTTCAGGGTATAAAAAGAGAGAGGCCGAAGAGTATAAAGAGCTTGACAAGCTAGCCGATAGCGGTAATGCTCGAAAATTCTTCGTAAAGATGCGGCAAATAACATAAGGTTTCAAGACCGGAAAAAAGGGGATCTAGTGACTAATTCCCAGAGCAACTTAAATTATGAAAGGAATATTTCTCTAGCCTGCTGAATGGCAGTGAAGGCATAACGACCATGAAGAATTTCGAATACCAATTATCTGTCTGAAGAACAGCAAAGCGGGGGGTACTATTCAATATAGCTATTCAAATACGGTGGCGAATAACTGATAAGGAGCATGCATCAACTTCTTTGTCGAATATGGTCGGATGAAAGCATGGCAGCCGATTGGAATTTAACTGCTCTCTGCCCAATCCACAAAATCTCCGCCAACTACCGTGGGATAACTCTCCTCAACGTCACATATAAGATTTTATCGCTTATTGTGTAAAAGATTAAATCCCACCGTCAACAAACAAATTGAACCCCATCAACAACTGACCTGGTTTTCATCATGACCGAAATCTTGAAAAAGAACCTTGAAAAAAGTATCGACATACATCACCTCTTCGTCTATTTCAAAGCTGTGTTTGACGGTGAGCAGGTCAAGAAGCCTTTACTTCTAGGCAAAAGTGAACTTAGTCACATTGGAGAAGTCATCACTGGAGGGTCACTGCACTTAAGATACCACCTTCAGAAAATTACAGTACAAATTAGAATTGGAATGTAGAGCATTCGCGGAAGGTGAAGAGATGCGGAAACATTACCTTTGGCAATGAATAGTTTCTAGCCGGTTATCTTCCAGAACTGCCAACGCAAAAACTTCAGAGATATTGGGTAGATGGGTTGAAAGAAATCAGGTTTTAGACCAAATTCACTGAGTTGATGAATAAGGTTTAATTAATTACCGTTAATTAATTACCGCTCGGGAGCTTATTGGGCCTAAAGATGTCCCAAATATGGCCCACAGTGATCTGGTGCTTATGCGTCTCGTTACATCTACGTTAAAATGTAGTTTGTAGTATGATATGAGTTGGATCTACAAATCTATAGAGCTCTTTCTTTACAACTTATTGGTATCAAATTGCAATATTTCCATTAAGAGTTGCCTTTACATAAGATAAAACTATAAACTTACCCTAATATAAGATCGAGTTCATCGTCCTTACTAAGCGCCGTATTTCGATCGTTCGACAAGGTCGACTTTTTGTCGCCACCAAGACGCTCGAAAAGTGGTTTCTCCACGGTTTGCTCATTATTTGTTTTGTAATCATTGCTATCCCCATTCGGTTCGAATGCATTACGCATAATTAGATTGCTTGGTGGCGCTTGTTTGGGCACCACCTTGGAGAACATATTATAGACCTTCGCATCCTTACCAACTGCATCGAGGTTCAATAAGCTTGGACGTGTCTGCAGGTAATAGTTATTAATTTTCGCCGAATTTTTAGCATTCTTTGTGGCGGTCTCAAAGAGTGCATAATTTCGATGGCCATTCGCCAAATAGATGACACCGGCTTTAATATTTCCTACAGGATTAACGCTGTTATTGAAAGAAACATTTGGCGGTTGTGGCGGATGCAGCTGACCGGTGTTGCGATTCAAGTAGATATCGTTTATGGACTCGGTAAATGCGAGGTTCTCCTGTGAACGCTTGTGGAGCGCAGCATCACCGCCACCGTTCAGATATATGTGACTGGCGGGCGCTAGTATTGTATTGTAGCGTATGGAACCGCTTTTTATAGAGAGACTATCTTCAAGTTGTTCACGGAATTGCCGATTGGCGGCGTTGTTGACGGCATTTGATGGCATGCCGTTGTTGGTATGCAAGTTCTGTTGCGTACTAACTGCTGCCATTTGTACAGGCATTGTGGTGCGCGTCGCATCACCACCATTTATTGATAGGAAACTGATTTTGGGCGCTTGCATTTGGTTGGGGTTTTGTGCCAATGGAATTATCGTACGTCTAGCATATATGTTGTTGTACCCGCGATTGTTGTTGTTGTTCAACGATGCATTTACCGCATTATTGGCATTTATGGTATTGCTATTATTATGCTGCCGATTACCTTGCTGCAACAGCTCGGTAACCGCTTGTAGTTTCTCCTGAACCGGAAGCACATTATTCGATAAATTCGGCAATTGCCCCGCATTTCTGCCATTGATATTCGCATTGGTTGTTGCATTTGTATTGGCAGCAGGAGCCGCTGCCGCATATTTGGCCGTAAGTTTGACGTTAGCTTTCGCCGCCGCCGTGGGTGAGATACGCTTTAGCGCATGAAAGTAGGCATATTTAAGGCTCTGCTGCGCCGTGGGTCGCTTATCAGGATCATAGTGCAGCATGTCCTCCAACAAATCCAAGCCCGCCTGACTGCAGCGTGTCACAATCGTATTAAGCGGCACTTTGATGCATTCCGGATAACGAAAGTGTATCGTAGCAGCGAGTCTATAACCTTCAGGCCATTCTCCCTGGTCATGTAAGATAGATTTGACTCCACTGTGGTTAAAATACTACATATAATGCATACCTTCTCTGGCGTTCCTAAAACAGAACAAATCTTAAACAGCTGATCCACTTCACTGCTGCCCGGAAAGAGTGGCCGAAATGTGTAGAGCTCCGCCATGATGCAACCCATTGCCCATAAATCTATGGAACTGCCATAGTTTGTAGAATGCAGCAGCACCTCTGGCGCTCGATACCTTTAAAGGATTCGTTGGATGAATGTTATTGCAAATACGAATCTGATCAAATTTGAATAGGACTACTTTATCACGAACGTAAGTATTTAAGTGGCACAAAGCATTCATTGGAGGTCGTGAAGTCAATGAAAGCTTGACTCATGCAAAATTGTTACGAAATTGTTAATAACAATTACATCGAAAAAGTTAAGGAAACAGTGCTTGAATATCGTCATGTTGACATGAGATGGATTATAGGGGTCCCCAACGCCTCTTATAAAATGAATCATTACATTTCGTTCGTTTCGCTTTGGGTGAAGCGTACCATTGTCAGGCTCATACCAAAAGATTTGAATCTTTTGGAAAAAGAATGTCAAGTAGAGCTCCCAAAAGAGATGCTTTGTAATGTAACAGAGGACTCTATAGTCATCAAATCATCATTTCTGGTCACGAGACGTGGGTTTACATATGAATATCTAGCGATTGGCGGTTCAAAATTGAGCCGAAACCTAAAAATCCACGTCAAAGTCAGTCAAAAATCAAGGTGATGCATGGGGCAACTGGTCAATCAGAGAATACTACTTGACCGTTTCGAAGCATTTACGTGAAGTGATTCACGTTAATCGACCAAAATTGTAGGCAGAAAAAATGTATGTGTGTGGGACGGCATTTCGACACAGTACACGCCGGGGGAAGAGAAAGACTTCTACTCCGTTGGAAGGACCTGGCTACACTTGGCATCTCCAATGGGAGCTGAACAGCATAAAGAAAGAACGACTGACGTTCTCTCGTAAACTCGTAAACTCGAATACTTGTTTTACTGCCTAAGCGGTGTCTACGCCAATGAAGAATAAGAAGTACAAAGATTTGTGTAAAAATATATGATAATATTGTTTCTTTTGTCTGTCCTGGTCAAATTTTACCAGATAGTATTGTTGTTGGCAAATAAAAATGCACTCACCATCTTGTCGACACATAGTCCGTGAATGGCGGTCGCGAACGTACCTCGCGTGCTAAGCCGAAATCTGCAATTTTAATAAGCTCCGGTCCTGAGCAAAGTAAATTCTCCGGCTTCAAGTCACGATGAAAAAATCCATGGCGGTGCATAAACGCTAAGCCGGTGAGTACCTGTTTGTTAAAACGACATAAAATATATATATTAAAGGATTTGGTTACAAACTCTGAACTTAACATTAGTTGACTTAAGCTCTATCAACGCATATGTAAATTAACTTACCTGAAACAGTATACTTTTGAGCGTCGGTTCTGGCAAATGTGTGTCACGATCCTTAATCATTTGATATAAATTCTCTTTCATATATTCAAAAACAAAATATAACGTGTCATTCTCGCGTATGACTTCCTTCAGTTTTACAATATTGGGATGAGAGAGTTTCTTGAGTGACTGCAAAATTAATTTCGTATAAGTAATTATATACGAGTATATATGTACCTAATATACATAGAAGTATTTAACAAAAGTCTTACCTTGACTTCTCGCAAATTCATCGCCTCCTCCCAGGAGTAATATTTTCGTTTCATACGTTTGATAGCCACCTTTTCGCCAGTGTCCTTGCGTTGAGCTAACACCACTGTGCCGTATGTGCCATCACCCAATTGTGAGAGTGTAATATAACGATTCATTATACTTGAAGCGGGAAGCACCCGTAGCCGTATGAATAAATTGTCGCAATTATTTTCAGTCAGTCGTTATAATAAAAGGCATTATGCTGGAATTGTAACAGGAAACTGTAAGGTTTTGGAATGGTACATAATAAAAGTAGTAATAATAAAAATGTATGCGAACAAATTCAACCTGGTGCGGTTGTAAGTTGTATGAGAAGCTTTACTTCGTAGCATTCCACAAGTTATTGCGTTCAAGCTACGTAATTGCCTACAGCCCGAGAGAGGCTGTATAAGAGGGATTCTTATACAAAAGCAGATGAAAGCGGACTCGGTATTTATTCCAAGAGTCAATATGACATCGTATGTTTTAGCCCAGGATTTTAGACCCATCAGTCTTCTCTACTCCTCCTTCATATTGAAAATGACCGATTGATCGGCTCTTAAGGGATAGCACCTGTATTCCAAGATGTAGACTCTCAACTACACAGCAGGTATATTGGTCAATGGACACAGCCATGCCTAGTATTGTCTTATTGCTTAAGGAACAAGAAGATTGCAGTGGGGATCTTCCTCGATATCGGAAAAGCATTCAACAACGTTTTGTCGGAAGCAGCACTTAGAGCTTTTTATTGGTTTGTTGTTGAGTCGAACGATCGTGGAGGAATGGAGCCTCACCTTCAGGAAAGAGCGGTCGCCCTGCACTGATGTAGAGAAGCTATTGGAGTTTATTACCAAAAAGTGGTTCTTTCGCTCTTTGAATCCATAGTTAAACCTATAACGTGCTGCGAAATTTTTGTATTGCAGACAGCGCTGGAAAACGCTTCTGGTGGTCAAGCGGCTTCAGTTCATGCAATTCACAAGGCTTGAGAACGACGTGCAAGAGACTGATGTAGGTCTTCTTCAATTGATGCGCTAACGGCAAAAATATTCTGGACCTACGGGAACAATTTTTCCACTTGGCGCTCAATTTTTGATCTGACAGCACGATTATGACGACCATAAATTGGACGAGCGCTTTTAAAGTTGAGGCCACTGACTCCGAATAAATGTCAAAAGAGAGAGAAAAAATATTCTATCGGTCTACTTTTGTAGCTCCCTAAAGAAAAAATATACTCCAGTCTTAATATCTGCGAAATAGGAACGGTTGGAGATCCATTCTCTTCTTGTCTTTTGTTGTGCAGTGGTAAGTTCCTTCTGCCCAAGGTAAATCATAAGAGGTTTTTCAGCAATGCCCATCTTTTAATTGATGTAGCTGTTCTAACTGGAAACTGCCTGATCGAGATTCATGAAGTAAGTTTGAAAATTTTACAGGCTGCCAGCTGCATCAGCTGTTTCTAATCCTTCTAATCGAAAGTCCTGCCTTTGCCATATTAGGGCAAAAGATCCTCGATTCCCATACTTTTAGACATCCAAGTTAAATTTCGGGAATAGGAAAGCAATATTTAGGTAGATTTATGATAGGTTCAGTGCTTTCTGCCAATAACTCATATCAACTATGCTAGTTATATTCGGTTTTTATGTGGTGAGTGATCTAACCTAACCTAACCTAGCTGCAGCTAAGAGCTAGAATAACATAAAGTGATGATCTCGAATCCGAAAAAAGTTAGAATTCCCTTTCAACTACCCAACACCATTAAAAAAGTGGAAATATATTAATGCTTTCTGCTCTTTAAAAACCATAAAATTTTTGGAACTCATGGTCTATCAAAAGCGTTATTCAAATATGGCAACTAGAAGTTTTTAAAATGAATGCAGCAACACTTAAAGAGAATTGAATCGAAATTGTGAAATACGAGCTGACATGATCTTAATATTTAGGATTAGGCCTTGGAATCTACATTTTACCTATCCCATCCATACCCAGCGACTCTTGGAAAATACTCCAGCATAATAAATGGACACTACAATCGGTATCTGTCGGATCATTTGACTGTTTGAGATCTTGATGTCAAATTTTAGTATGTGATTTTTAAGTATCGTATATGAAGAATTCTCAATTTCGATGTTTAAAATAATTCACACACCTGTGCCCCTTTAGTCAAAAAGTACACATGCGCCAAGAGTGAGATTACCCTTCAGCGGTAAAAGCCTTCAATTCGCTACTAAATATTGGTAGCAAGGCAGTAAGAGTACCACCTGTCATTTCGTAAGCTGAAGTAGAGAGGGAAGTGTCCTTACTAAGTAATTCGCATTGCCGCAAAAATATTCCATATTGAAGAAGTTTAGTTAGTTCCAGGTCGAAATAAAATATGTTATGTAATAAAATTACGGTGGCAGTTATTGAAGTGAACTGCCCAAATTCGCGTGACTACGGTTGAAACAGCTTGTCTTATAAGTGAACTAAATGAAATCAAAGTAAGTCGCCTTTATGGATTCACTTTCACGAATTTTGGGCATTTCATTTATTGTCATTGTCTCAGCATGATGTCCCCATTCTAAAAACATTCCCACTACTTGCCTTTAGCAAAATAATTATTTAAATAGATATTGCATTTCCTACATGTCGGCCTATCTTGAAACCTATTATTCTCCAACTTATGTTGTTGAAACTTTTTCGTCAACTCGTCAAGAATTCTACATAGACTTACTCTTAAAGACGAACGTCATAAAGTCCTAGTTACCGCAGATTTGTATAAATTTTCATACAACTGTTTCCACGAAAAGTATCGTCTATACCACAACTACATTCAGTTATTACCCGTTATCTGCTGAGTCCCAAACGCTACTAAAATCCATTTCTATGCTCAGAGTCAATCGCATTGTAGAAGTCACGCATATATTGAATACATTGCTTTCATACAAATGTATATACATATTTAATAACTATAAAAATGTATTTACTAAATCTGCTGCTAAGCGTGTCGATTTAATAGTTACAATACTAAATTATTCCTTTATTGTCGCCGCTTTGTCATTCTATCGTCGCTATAAATAATTTCCACTTATCAATATTTTTTTCACGCCGCTTTATGCAATTATATACACATTTATATTTCGATATCGAAGGTAGATAGCCATTTATAGATCTTATAATTACTAACAGTAGCTTGAATATTTATTTTTGTACTATTCCCGTATTAAATTGACACGTGCTTGTAAAAGAACAAAACAAAAAATATTCATTACAAAAATATAAACAAGACAAAAAACTAAATAAACAAAAACTTTTCAAGAAGCTGCTATTTGTCGTAACCACCAATATCGGACCACTATAGCAATACTTTAATTAATTTCGAGACCGCGCTGACGATGAACCACGTACGGGACGACCATCCACATTAACTTATGATCAACACGTCAATTATGCGCAGACAACTCGTGGTTAATGCACCGTCGCATACTGCATTGATATTTTGTGAGTTTTTTGCAAAATTTTCATTCAATATAGTGCTGCAACCACTGATTTGGCTCTGTGTGACTATTCAGTAAACTCAAATGACCGCTTCGGGAAAACCGTTTTGAGTCCATTGAAGCCGTTAAAAGTGAATCGCTACGTGCATTGCAGGCTATTACGGAAATCGATGATTGGAAAAAACGTTGGCATGTGTGTACTAGAGTCAAAGGGAATTGCTTAGAGGGGGACGACGATTTTGAAAAATTGTCTTACTATTTTTGCTCTTATCTTTTCACGGCTTTTCATAAGACTTTGTAGGCATGATCTTATGTTAAATTGAGAAGACGGTATCGTAAACGGTTAAGTGGTCCGTTGCCATGCCCACACTAGACCCCCGTATCAATCAAAGTGCAATTTCTACACTTCTGCTAACCACAAACGGCAGATTGATTGTCCTAATAGAAACACGCAGCATCTATTAGACGATCCAAAGCGGATGGGCCACCTATTAAATGGTCGCTGGTCGCCAGAGGTCGTTAAAATTGCGAAAAACGATATGCGCGCTTTCAAAATCGATCATGATGAACTCCGAAAAATTATCGCATTTCTGGTGCTGCTGGGAGGGCGCCTGATTCTAATGGAAGCATATGTATAGCAACTTGCAGGAACTCTGGTTTAAGGTTGTTATAGGTTACCGCTAAAACGCTAATGAATATATCGGCCACTAGATGTGCTAAGGCTTGTCGTCTTATGACAAAAAATTGCCAAAATTAGATAATAACAGTTTAAGTCCCCGGTTACCGAATATGTGGACCACACTGCGTATGAATAAAATTTGACCGAAAATATCGGTCAATTTATGAAAATATTATTGAAACTCGGTTAGAATTTTTTTCTGGCAATAGTATGCCTGTCTATACAAATTGGGTTTATTAGGGTTAATATTTCACTAAGCCAATATATACCAAATATTAAAGATTTTAGTACTTCCGATTGACTTTATACCGCTTATTTTGGTGATGAATGAAACCCAGAGGATGTTTTTATGTTTATAATACTAAGTACTCAGTACACCATATTTATTATTCTAACAAACCCTATGCTGGATATGTCAAACAAGTTCTCGATTATACTTGACTAATTTCAAATGATTATACAAGGTGCGTTGCAAAGTTAAGAGGACTAAAAAAAAACAGAACAAATGATTTTTCGGTAAAATTAATTAATTTTATTCAAAATAGTATCCTTCTACTTCAATACACCTTATTGCACGGTCCAAAAGCATGTCGAACGAGTGTTTTAGCTCATTGGCCGGTATGGCCACCAGTATGCCGATGCAAACCTTTGAATGGTCTCTACGTCTACACAACGCTTTCCTTTCATGGTTAAAATGTGATTTTTGGTCAAATAACCGGTCACAAGCGTCGATCGAATGTTGAATTCTGAGCAATTTTTGATCGTCAGTCTATTTGTGCGGAACAAACAGCGCACACACATTTCGTAAGCCCGAATGTTCGACCAAAATGCGATAAATCGATGTTTTGGAGATGTTCAATTCCATTTCCATGAATTTCAAAGATGATTTCGACGAATACTTGATGAATTCACGCACAGTTTCGATGGAGTTTCCGGTGATCACGGATTTTCATTGGCCCTCATGTTGATCGTCATTTATGTCCTCACGACCACTATGAAAACATTGAAACCACTCGTGCATTCTGCTACGTTGTTTCATCAATTGAAACGTTTCGGTAAAAGTTTTACCAACTT